AATAAAAGCTATTTATGGCAAACCCACAGCCAATATCATACTGAATGGGCAAAAACTGGAAGCATTCCCTTTGAAATCTGGCAATAGACAAGGATGCCCTCTCTCACCACTCCTATTCAATATAGTATTGGAAGTTCTAGCCAGAGCAATCAGGTAAGAAAAAGAAATAAAGGGTATTCAATGAGGAAAGGAGGAAGTCAAATTGTCTCTATTTGCAGACTATATGATTGTATATTTAGAAGACCCCATCGTCTCAGCCCATATTCTCCAGAAACAGATAAGCAACTTCAGCAGGCTCAGGATACAAAATCAATGTGCAGAAATCACAAGCCCTCCTATACACCAATAACAGACTTAAAGAGAGCCAAATCAAGAACGAACTGCCATTCACAATTGCTAAAAAGAGAATAAAATACCTAGGAATAAAACTAACAAAGAATGTAAAGGATATCTTCAAGGAGAACTACAAAACACTGCCCAACAAAATAAGAGAGGACACAAGAGATGGAGAAACATTCCATGCTCATGGTTTAGGAATAATCAATATCATGAAAATGGTCATACTGCTCAAAGTAATTTATAGATTCAACGCTATCCCCATCAAGCTACCAATGACCTTCTTCACAGAACTGGAAAAAAACACCTTAAACTTCATATGGAACCAAAAGAGAGCCCGTATAGCCAAGTCAATTCTAAGCAAAAAGCACAAAGCTGGAGGTATAATGCTACCTGACTTCAAACCATACTACAAGGCTAGAGTCATAAAAACAGCATGGTACTGGTACGAAAACAGAGATATAGACAAATGGAACAGAACAGAGGCCTCGGAGGCAACACCACACATCTACAACCATCTGATCTTTGACAAACCTGACAAAAACAAGCAATGGGGATAGGATTCCCTGTTTAATAAATGGTGTTGGGAAAACTGACTAGCCATGTGCAGAAAGCAGAAACTGGACCCCTTCCTGACACCTTACACTAAAATTAACTGCAGATGGATTAAGGACTTAAACATAAGACCTAAAACCATAAAAACCCTAGAGGAAAATCTAGGCAGAACCATTCAGGATATAGGCCTAGGCAAGGACTTCATGACTAAAACACCAAAAGCATTGGCAACAAAAGCCAAAATAGACAAATGGGACCTAATCAAACTCTAGAGCTTCTGCACAGCAAATGAAACAATCATTAGAGCGAATCAGCAACCAACAGAATGGGAAAAAATTTTTGCAATCTACCCATCTGAGAAAGGGCTTATGTCCAGAATCTACAAAGAACTAAAACAGATTTACAAAAAAACCCCAAACAAGCCCATTCAAAAGTGGGCTAAGGATATGAACAGACACTTTACAAAAGAAGACATTTATGCAGCCAACAAACGTATGAAAAAAAGCTCATCATCACTGTTCATTAGAGAATGCAAATCAAAACCACAGTAAGATAACCATCTCATGCCAGTTAGAGTGGCGATGTTTAAAAAAATCAGGAGACAACAGATGCTAGAGAGGGTGTAAAGACACAGGAAGGCTTTTACGCTGTTGGTGGGAGTGCAAATTGGTTCGACCATTGTGGCAGACAGTGTAACGATTCCTCAAGGATCTAGAAATTGAAATACTATTTGACCCAGCAATCCCATTACTGGGATATATCCAAAGGATTATAAATCATTCTATTATAAAGACACATGCACATGTGTTTACTGCAGCACTGTTTACAATAGCAAACACTTGGAACCATCTCAAATGTCCATCAATTATAGACTGGATAAACAAAATGTGGCACACATACACCATGGAATACCATGCATCCATAAAAAAGGATGAGTTCATGTCCTTTGCAGGGACACAGATAAAGCTGGAAACCATCATTCTCAGTGAACTGACACAAGAACAGAAAAGCAAACACTGCATGTTCTCACTCATAAATGGGTGTTGAACAATGAGAACACATGGACACAGGGAGGGGAACATCACACACTGAGGCCTTTTGGGGGGTGGAGGGCTAGGGGAGGGATAGCAGGTGGTGGGAGGATTGGGGAGGGATAACAATAGGAGAAATATCTAATGTAGATGACAGGGTGATGGATGCAACAAACCACCATGGCACATGTATACCTACGTAACAAACCTGCATGCTCTGCACATGTACCCCAGAACTTAGAGTGTGTGTGTATATATATATATATATACACACACACACACACACACAAGTAATATATACACACATGTATATATGTATATATACATATATAAACACACCCTCCCTGCAAACACACACCCCTACACACCCATACCCCCACCCACACACATACAAAGAAGGAAATAACTTTATTCACAGATGAAATGACTACATAGAAAACTCACTGGAATCTAAAACATAAACAAGCCAATAAGTGAGTTTCTCAAGGCTTCAGGGCACAAAGCAATGTACAAAAATCAATTATATATCTATATGCTAGCAATGAAAAATTAGAAATGGTAATAAAAAATCAAAACATTAACAATCCATAAAAATATGTAGTATTTTAGTATTTAGAAATCAATGTGACAAAAATAGTGAAAAAAAAATAAAAATGAAAACAAAACATACCAAAACCTATAGAATATAGCAAAAGCAGTGCTAAATATGACATTTATTGGGGGGAAAAAAAAGCCTATATCTAAAAAGTAGAAAGATTTCAAATAACCAACCTAACAATGTACCTCAAAGAACCAGAACAGCAAGAACAAAGCAAACATCAAATTAGTAGAAGGAAATAAATAATAAATAAAATGTAATACAATTAGATTATTTATAAATTAATAAATGTTTATTATAAAGATTACCTACAAGAATAAAATTTCATAATATATTAATAAATAATAATAAAGAGCAGAATCAAACAAAACAGAGACCAAAAAACCACAAAGGATCAATGAAACAAATCAAGTAATTTTTTGAAATGATAAAATCAATAAGCCATTAGCTAGACTAACGAAGAAAAAGAAAAAAAACCAATAAATAGAATCAGAAGTGAAAAAGGACACATTACAATTAATATCACAGAAATACAACAGATCATTAGAGACTATTATGAACTATATGCTAACAAATTAAAAAACTTAAGGGAAATGGATAAATTCCTGGACACATGTAACCTACCAAGATTCAATCAGGGAGAAACAGAAAACCGGAACAGACCAATGAGTAATGAGATTTAATCAGCAATAAAACTCTCCCAACCAAAAAGAGCCCAGGACCAAAAGACTTTATTGCTGAATTCAACCAAACATATAAAGAACTAACAACAATACTTTTCAAACTGTTTCAAAAAATGAAGGGTAGGGAATTCTTCCTAACTCGTTCTACAAGGCCACCATTAACCTGATATCAAAACTAGACAAAGACACAACACGAAAAGAAAACTATGGGGCAATACACCTGAGAAACGCAGATGCAAAAAATCCTTAACAAAATTTCAGCAAACTAAATCCAAGAAGGCAGCAAAAAGACAAAAACACTATGATCAAGTGGTATTCATTCCAAAGATGCAAGGATGGTTCAACATATACAAATAAGTAAATTAATAAAAAACAAAATGAAGGGACCAAAACTATATGATCATTTCAATATACACAGAAAAAGCATTTAATAAAATTTGTTCAAAATCCCTTCAGGATGAAAACTCTCCACCAACTAGGTACAGAAGTACTTCAAGATAACAAAGGTCATATATGACAAACCCATAGCTACCTTATGTGGAATGGGAAAAACATGAAAGCCATTCTGGGAAGAACTGAAATTAAAAAAGAATGCCTAATTTTACCACTTTTGTTCAACACAGTACTGAAAGTCATCCTCACCAGAGCAATCAGGCAAATAAAAGAAAGAAAAGGCATCCAAACTGGAAAAGAAGTAAAATTGTCCCTTTCTGGAGACATGATCTTGCATGTAGAAAAACATGAAGACTTGCCAAAAATAAAAAATCACTTAAAACTGATAAATGAATTCACTAAAGTTATGAGATAAAAAGTTAACATTCAAAAATCAGTAGCCTTTTTATATACCAATAATGAACTAGCTGTAAATAAATCAAGAAAGCAATCCCACTTATAACAGCTCTAAATATTATAAAATACCTAGAAATATATTTAACCAAGGAGGTGAAAGATACCTACAAGGAAAAGACTACAAAACACTGATGAAAGAAATTGAAGTGGACACAAACAAATGGAAAGACATTCCCTGTTCATGAGTTTGAAGAATTAATATGGTTAAAATAACCATACTGCCCAAAGTAATCTACAGATTTAATGCAATCCTTATCAAAATACCAATGACATTGTTCTGTGAAACAGGATTAACAATCCTAAAATTTGTAAACAACCAAAAAAGACCCCAAATAGCCAAAGCAATGCTAGGCAAGAAGAAAAAAGCTGGAGGTAAACACTACATCACTTCAAAGTATACCACAAAGCTATAGTAACTCAAACAGCACGGTACTGGTATAAAAACAGACATATAGACCAGTGAAGAACAGAAAACCCCAAAATAAACCCACATATTTAAAGCAAACTAATTTTGGACAAGGTGCCAAGAACATTCACAGAGGAAAGGACAGTCTTCATTAAATAATGTTGAGAAAAGTGGATAACCATAAGCAGAATGAAACTAGACTGGTATCTCTCACCATATACAAAAATCAACTCAAAATGAATTAAAGACTTCTAGGTAAAACCTGAAACTGTAAAATTATAGAGGGGAAACACTTCAGGGAAAGACTTTATGGCCAAGACTTCAAGCCCATGACTTATCTGTGACATTATTGAGGTATAAACAGGACAGAATTCAGTCTATTTAATGTACTAACGCCCAAATACATTACTCTACAACAGACCAATAAACTAAGAAAGTTATTTTATGACATATTAAGCATACACGTGTATGTGTGTATATATTTTGATTACACTATAGTAGGACAGGATATTATACAAAATTTTTCATGTGACATGTTTTACCTGAGCTCTATATATGTGCTTCCTTAAGGCATGTTTTATTTCAACAACATCTACATCTGTCCTGATATCCATGTTTTTTGATTCTTTGGTATATTCAGCAAAAATAGAATTCTTCATTTCTTTCTGCATATAGCAAAGTAAAATGATTTTAGAAAATGTACTAAAGATAGTATCAACACAGATGATATCACAAAGGACAATGTAAGAGGAACACATTCATACCTTGTTAACCACAGCAAAAATCTTCACAATCATATATCAAGATTATATAATGAAAGAAAAAACTTAAAAAGCAAACATTTTGGCTGGGCGTGGTAGCTCACACCTGTAATCCCCAGCATTTTGGGAGGCTGAGGCAGGTGGATTATGAGGTCAGAAATTCAAGACCATCTTGGCAGAGATGGTGAAACCCTGTCTCTACTAAAAATACAAAAATTAGCCAGGCACAGTGGCAGGTGCCTGTAATCCCAACTACTTGGGAGGCTGAGGCAGGAGAATTGCCTGAACCCAGGAGGCAGAGGTTGCAGTGAGCCAAGATCATCGCCATGGCACTCCAGCCTGGGTGACAGCGTGACTCCGTCTCAAAAAAAAACCAAACCCCAACATTTCAATTTGTAAAGAATTAACTGATATTTACATGTGTACTTTTCACTTTACCTTGGTCCAAATCTTTCCTTGAACTGTTTTTTTGTTGTTGCCTTGGTCACACAAAACAAAATTCATTACCTATTTACCTTTATCATTTTCCTGAAATCCTTCTGAATATACACATATATACATGGTATGGTATGGTATGGTATGGCATGGCATTGATTAATTAATGAATTAGATGGGGTCTCACTCTGTCACCCAGGCTGGAAGTGCAGTGCAGATCTTGGCTCACTGCAACCTCTGCCTCCCAGGCTCAAGCTATCCTCCCAATTCAGCCTCCCAAGGAGCTGAGACTACAGTCACCCACAACCACACCAGCTAATTTTTTGTATTTTTGGTAAAGATGAGGTTTCATCATGTTTCCCAGTCTTGTCTCAAACTCCAGGGCTCAGGCAATCTGCCCTGTTGACCTCCCAGAGTGCTGGGATTACAGGTGTGAGCCCCCACATCCAGCCCATGTTAACGGTTTATTTAGATTTTTAAAAAGTCATACTCTAGAGAAAATTTACCCATGAAGGATTCAATTTTAAAAACAAGATCTCATTAAAAATGATCTGTATTACGCAAAAAAAGAGCAAAATAAAAAATAGAATTTACATTAGAAAGTATTACCCAATTATACACACATGTAGTTTTACAGATTTTTTCATTTTAAGAAATAGTCTTTTTCAGTTTCTTTTTCTACATTACATTCAGGCAGAAGAAATTCATGGAATACCTTGATTATTAACTCAGATTTCTTTGTGTATGCATGTAGAAATACATTTACTGTGGACCAAAGTTAACTAGAATATTAACTATGAATATTATACCAGATTGACTCAAGATTTTTCATAAAACACATAGTATTATATATCTAGATTAGAGAACAACCAAAAAATTAAAAATAAATATAGCTTAGCTTACAAAGCTTTACCTGATCTCTATAACACATGTGCCTTCTTAAGGTACTTTTAATTTTTTCAGGTTCAACATCTTTTTTGCAGTCGCTTTCTTTTCCTTTCTTGCGTTTTCTCCTCAAAGCATAACTCCTTTGAATATCTTCATCTTTTCTCTTAATTTCCTTCTACATGTATTTAGACCAAATTAAATCTCAACATCAATGACATATGTTACCAAATCCAAATAAACTCGAGTGACTTTTACACAAGTATATACCATATTAAAAAATAAAGAAGTATGAACAACAGAAAATTTCATCCATTGACAGAGGTGTATATTAATAAAATATTTTGAAAAAAAGCTGGACACTGCCTAGTACAGTTGAACATGCACAGTCCTTATGACCCAGCAACTCCATTTCCTAGGAATATAGCAACCGAGACAGATAAATTACTGAACATGTATACCAAGAGGTATACAAGATAATGTTCATACTATTCATAGCAGAATTCTTCATAATCGCAAAAACCTACCAATCAAACACACAAACCAATTAACAAGAAGCCTAAAGGCTTATCAACAGTAAAACAGATAAAAATTTAATAGTGGCATAGTCAAACAATATCATTTTATATACACCAGCAAAAAAGTCTACAAATAACATAAACATAAACATTAGACAAAGCTAAACCATAGAGGGTTAGGAATACACACATAGCTGTTAAAACTATAATGAAAAACAAGAAAAGAATTAACAAATTCTAAGACAAAGTTTAATTCTAAGTAAGAGGGACAAAGGGGATGCATTAGAAAATAGCAGGTCTTAAAAAACTGGTAATGCTTTATTTCTTAATACAGATATTGGATATATAAGAACTCATTTTATGTATTTTTTAAAGCTGCAGAAAAGTATACTGTAAACACACATATATTTTAAACAATTATTTTTAATTTGGAAAGTTTTACCTGATTTTCATATGTATGCCTTCCAAAGGTATTTCTCATTTTAATAAATTTCAAATCTTTACTGGAACCACTGGATTCTTTTTTGTGATGTTCAGTCAAAACAGAACCAACATTAATATCTTCATCGTGATTTTGCATTTCTTTCTGTGTGTTTGTAAAAGTAATTCAGTTAAGACTGTGGATTAAATAAAGCTTCAATACAATCAACACAAGTCACAAAATCCAGGAACACAGGTTTGGTAAAATATACATACAAGGTTAAATATGGTAAAGAGCTCTCTGAATCATATAAGATCAAGCAGAACATAAGCGTTTTCAGTTCACAAAGCTTTATAGTATGTTAACAAATATGCTTAATTTAGTTTACCTATGTGCTTAATTCAGATTAAGTAGTATTAAAAATCATGTTGTTTATTCATGATATCAAAATAGCTATTTTTAAAAAAGATATTTCTACTTGAATTTTACATATACAATTTGAGTCCTAGAAAGAACTCAAGAAGACATATATACAGTCATGCACTGCTTAATGATGGGGATATGTTTTGAGAAGTACTTCATTAGGTGATTTTGTCATTGTGCAAACATCAGTGTCTACCTACACAAATCTAGATGGTACAGCCTACTACACACCTAGTCTATATGGTATGGCCTATTGTGCCTAGGTTACAAATCTTTATGACATGTTACAGTATTGCATACTGTAGGCAACTGCAACACAATGCTGAATATTAGTGTATTTAAACATAAGAAGGCATAGTAAAATATGGTATTATAATCTTATGAGACTACTGTCATATATGGGGTCCACTGTTGACCAAAACTGTGTGTATATGACTTTATATGTATTTTAATATTTTCCATTTCTTTTATGGAATCTCTATTTTATTCTTCTGCCATGTTTATTCAAAACTAAACTTATTTTAATAAGTCCATCATTTTACATTTCTTTCTATATGTAAAAATACTATATACTGTGATTCACAATGCATATTTCACAAGAGGCACGTCAACTCAAAAAAGCTTCTCATTAAAACATGCACATATAGTAAATTACAAAAAGTAGTCTTATAAGTCACATAAATATTAACATACATTGAAAAAGTCAGGAAAAATGCAAAAATATTTTAAGTTTAAAAAGTTGTGGGAAATAAGGGAGGGAGAGTGGTGGGTGGGGAGTTGGGGAGAGAGAGCATGGGGAGAAATGCCAGACATAGGTGATGGGGAGGAAGGCAGCAAATCACACTGCCATGTGTGTACCTATGCAACAATCTTGCATGTTCTTCACATGAACCCCAAAACCTACAATGCTTAAAAAAAAAAAAAAAAAAAAAAAAAAAGTTGTGGCAAATCTTGCCACATACAATTTCTTAGGAAACTGTGCAATTTTAAAAGTTCAAAATTACTCCTAGAATTATTTTTCAAAAAATACTTGATATGGGAAAAACTCTTTTGAATTTTTTTCCTGCTTATCCATAAAACTTTTAGTTTAGACTAGTAATTATCAGGTTAATAATTTGATAAATTAACCGAGTAGACTGCTTTAGTAAACACAATATGAAACTGAACATAACTGAATATTAACTCTTCTAGAGCAGAAATAATAATGTCCTTTTTGTGGTTTCTACTGCTGTTTGAAAAACCGTACTTTAGAGTCACCATATATGCTTTCTTGAGGTACTTTTCATTGTTCCAAGTTCAAAGTCCTTTCTGTTTTACTGTTTTACAAATCAATCAAAATAGAATTCATTTGTATATTTTAAATTTCATTCTATATACAGTTAAATACTTGAATTTACACGAATTATAAATATATATTGTGATCGCAGGTAAGAAAATGCTTTATAAAACATACGTTACCTAAACCTATCAGAGTTTTTAAGTAATCACCATTAATTACACACTATGTATAAGGAACTCTGTATTTCTATATGCATACAAACATTACTTCAGCAAGAGTTCCAAAACAGAGACATAGGACAATTTCCTAACATGCTCAAGCCACAGACTATAAACACACGGTTCAAACACCAGCCTTCTGATTCCAATATCTGGTTTTTCCCACTATACTTTGCCTCTCAAACAATTCTGTAAGAAACACAAGAAATGTACATTTTTCAGCCTATAAAATTTACCTGGGTTTTATACATGGTCTCTCTTAAGGCACCTTTCATTTCAAGAAATCCTGCATCTTTCCTGAAATCTTTGTTTTTTTCTTCATTGCCATGTTTAGTCCAAACAGAACTGGTTTGAGAATCTTGATCATTCTGAATTTCTTTCTGTATGTACGTAAAAATGGTTTAGGCAATCATCTAAGTGTATTTTCAACATCATGTACCTTTTATAGTATTAAACTTTAACTATAATTACATAACATTTTGTCAAATAAGTAGGTAAAATGCACCCTCTTAAATCAAAAGTTACTAAACACAGATAAAAATCTTTCAGGGAAAAAAATCATTATAGCAAAGGTCCTGAAAAAAGTGTTTCCGTGTATCTCAAGAAAAGCCCAATGCTTTGCTGATCTATTAACAACCAATTATTTTTACAAATAACCAGTAACAAAAATATTTTATCTAGTCCCTATCCAAGTTAAAGTTACAATCTAGATTTTTAAAATCATCAATTATAGATAAGACTTTTTCTTGCATTATTTTTCAGTTTTTTACTGGTAAGACTTCACTTGCAAGTATACCCCACACAGAGAGGAAAAGGTTACACAATACTCTTACTTGAATAGCAATAAACAACAATTATATTAATCTAGCTCTATGTCAAATGACTAAATTTCTCTTGCCAAGGAATCCAAACTGAATTCATAAATCAACTTCCAATAATTATTTTAAAATTTCTTGCATATGCACTTACACATATAATTCTGTAAGCTTTGTAACATAAAGATCTGGGAGTAAAAGTGAGGTCATGACAGTTCCCAAAATGTAATTATGAAAGGCTGTTCAGGCCAGGTGCAGTGGCTGACGCCTGTAATCCCAGCACTTTGGGATGCTGAGGCAGGTGGATCACGAGGTCAGGAGATCAAGACCATTCTTGCATATGGTGAAACCCTGTCTCTACAAAAAAATACACAAATTAGACGGGTGTGGCAGCATGCACCCGTAGTCCCAGCTATTTGGGAGAGTAAGGCAGAATTGCTTGAACCCGGGAGACAGAGGCTGTAGTGAGTCAAGGTTTCACCACTGCACTCTAGCCTGGGCAAGAGAGCAAAAAGAGAAGAGAAAAGGAAGGGAGGGGAGGAGAGGGAAGGGGAGGGAAGGGGAGAAGAGAAGAAACAGAAATACAGACAGAAACACAGAAAGATAGGTAGGAAGGAAGGAAGGAAAAAAGAAAGGAGGAAAGAGAGAGGGCAGGGAAGGGGAGGGGAGGGGGAGGGGGGAGAAGGGGAGGAGGGAGAGGGAAGGGGGAAGGGAGGGGGGAAGGATGGGGGGAGGAGGGGAAGGGAGAGTGGGAGGGAGAGGGGGAGGGGAGGGAGAGGGGTATGGGGAGGGGGGAGGGGGTGGGGAGGGGGAGGGGGAGGGGGGAAAGGGAAGGGGATGAGGAGGGGGCAGGGAGAAGGAGGAGGGGGTGGGGGAGGGGGGGTGAAGAGGGGGAAAGGGAAGGGGAAGGGGAGGGAAGGGAAGGGAGGCTGTTCAGATTTATTACCTCTACCCAAAGAGACTGGACAATCACAGTCTTCCTAGGGAACAATTATAAAAAAACAAAATGTGTTAAGGTCTATAATGTGATCTTTATTTCCGACTCACTTGCCCTTGGCTTCCTATGTTAAAATGAGGGCCACTCTTTCAGCAGGCTGCAATTCTGAAACCACAGAATAATCCCTGAGAATAGCTGACTGAATTTCTTTTTCAGCAACTCAGAAAGATGAAATTGAAAACTGAGAAAATAGAGACTTTTCTCCCTTCCTATTACTGGGACCAAAGAATGTATCAACAACAATTTCTGTCAAGGACAACTTGCAGCAGGGGACGGAAATAAGTTTCTGGCTTTAAATTTCACATGGTTGGCAATGGGAGGACAAATCCATAGGCTCAGGTCCTCAAAAAATCTCCAGAATACAGGATGAATTAATCCCATATACTTTCTCGTTATAGAGAATGCAAAGGAACACACCAAGGGAATATGGTGGTATCATAAAAGTTTGTTTTATCAACAGCAATAAAGCAAAAAAGAAACTGTTTCCTAATCCAATATATTTACTTACGTGCCTATTTCAGATGCTACATATGAGTAAATTAGGATGTATGATACAAGTATCCTATATAACTACTTAAAAATCACAGCCTGATACAGATTTAACATCTGAAGATTTGAAATTAAATAATCTATTTTCTATATAGCTAAACAAATGATCCACATATATTTTTCCCTAAGCCACTAATACTTTGTCTAATTGGTGACTCTTATGAAATATACAGCAATTATTTTATTTAACTATAAATATTCGATTTTATTCGTTATAAGTATCTTAGTGATAACTTATATACTAGGTATTGGGTTAGGTGTTTGTCTCCTTTTATAATCTCAGAAAGACAGTCCAAGACCAGTATACATATATACTATAGTATACATATACCACAGTATAGTGCTATGCACTAAAGGATAACTAAAAGCCTGCTTAATCAGCTACTTATTCTATTATCTAGGAGTAGGGCAACACAGTTGGGGCAATGAGAGTTGGCTTTCGATTCTGATATTTGACTTAGTTTCCTGCCTTGGGCTAGGTATAATTGATATACTCTGGTCTCCAGGTCTTATTCCAATATTCAGCCAAAGCATCAGTCATACAACTTGAATGAACTGATTAGACCAGATGCATAAGAAGATGGAGTGCCAGATAAATCAAGAAAGGGAGTCCTCTCAGTGCTACTTGGTTCTTAACTTGTACTTATACCCTGATGCTTAAATGGCATTTCATAATCCTAGGATTATGAAAGATATCCTAAGATATTCATTTAGGTATCGATTACAGCATTTATTATTTTTTAACTACTTACAAAGAGACTGGAAATCTAATAATACTCAAAATAGGGAGACAAAAAGGATCACGAAAAGGAAGATTTGAGGAAAGACGACTTAAAACTGACTGAGTGGTTGGCTTTAAATTTCTGCTCTGATAAATGACAGCTGTGGGATCTTGAACGAGTTACTTAAACTCAATTTTACCTCAAAATTAATTCTGATCAGTAAATGGAGATATAATACATACTACCCATGAACACGAGGTTTAAATTAGATTGAGCATGTAAAATGTTTAACATAGTACTTGAACCACAGTAACCATTCACTATTACCTCAAAGTAGTAGTTGTAATAATTCTCATAACCACCAAAACAATGTAACATTAGCTTCTACACACAAAGGGAGAAACTAAGGCACTCAATAAATGACTCTCCTGTGGTCACAGAACTACATTATAAATCTGTGTCACAAATTTGTTAATCTGGCTCAAAAAGTCTACGTGTTTCTGTTAATCCTAACATATTCCTGTAAGACTGTTGTAGTTCATTTTTCTTTCCTAAGTAGTCAAGATAAGTTTTCAGTATTCCTAGGTAGCCTCTCATTTTTATGAAACCTTCCTTGGGCTAAACAGTTGAGATATGTTAGTCATTTGTTCCTCTGTACTCCTGTACCTTTTACATAGTTTTACAAATCCGCAATTCATGTGAATTGCAAGTAACAGTGTCCACACTCTTTCTACATCACTAAATAAAGCATCTCAAAGAGTGATATATAATCTTATTCATTTTCATATCCCTGGTGCATTGCATAATGCCTGATACAACAATAGTCTTCAATAAATATCTATAAACCTGAACGAAACAGATTTTGAATTCTGATATACTCAGAAGCTTTTCAAGAAGTTTAAGAGGGTTAAAACAATAAAGTTAACTTTTTTAAAAAAAATAGACAAGGTCTGACTCTGTTACTCGGGCTGGAGTGCAGTGGCACAATCAGTTGAGCATACTGCAGCGTCAACATCTTGGGCTAAAAAAATCCTGCCTCAGCTTCAGAGCAGCTAGGACTATAGATGTGTGCTACCATACATAGCAAATTTTAAAATTTTTTGTAGATACGGAGTCTTGCTATGTTGCTTAGACTGGTCTCAACCTCCCAGCCCCAAGTGATCCTCCTGCCTCAGCCTCCTAAAGTGCTGGGATTACAGAACCACCACATCTGGCCTTATTGTTACTGTAACTCAGTAATTTTACATAGCAACTCTTTTTAGATGACACTTCAAAATCCATCTAATGAGGATTATAATATAATCTATAGCAAAGAAAAGCAAGACACTGAAATAAAGTTAACTTAAGTGATCACAATATGCCTTCCTTATTTCGATTGGTTATGAACTGCCAGTCATTTGATCCAGAACTTATAAAACAATGTATTCTAAAACTACATATAAGTTAGAGATTATCTGCTATTTTGGTTGATATACTATTGCTATACTATTTCAGCAGCTAGATATGAATGTTGTTAAAATACTACAAAATAAGATCATAGATAATGCACAGTATATGTTGCACTTTAAGCATTATTTCCCAAAGAAAAAAGAAAATTAATATACCTTTACTAATCTAATTAAAAACATCTATCATTCTGTTCATAGCTAATACTACATTTAAGCTATTCAGAGAGGTCTATCAGATAGTATGCTTTTGGCTGTAAATAACAGAAAACCAACCCAATGGGTCTCTTCATGACCCATTGATCAGAATTGGTTCACATGCTCGTTCCTAACTAATGACTGTCAAGGACAATGAGATTATCCATAGTCCAAGCAGATCCCTTCTTTGAACTAAGGTCAAATTTCCAATATACATTGCTGCTACTCATTAAGGAAAGGGAACTATATGATACATTATATGTATTTTTGGAAGACTCAAACATCTTTCACAACATCTCTATTAACAAATATTGAATGAGAACCCATGTGCCAGGTTATTTGTGAGGTGATCAGAATATAACAATGGAAAAGGCTGACATGATGCCTGATGACAAGGAGCTTTTGGTCTACACGGGACAACAGACATTAACCAAATAACCAGTCAATTACTTAACTGTAACTGTGCAGAGTACCAAGCAAAATAATGCTATGAGAACACATAGGTGAACCTCACTGAGTAAAGGGAACAAGAAGGCTTCCCTCTAGAGTAACATAACAGAACCTGAAACATGAGCAGGAGGTAGGAAGACCCAGAGAGTGAAGGAGTAGTGGAAAATAACTTTTCAGCAGGAAAAAATATCTTTTGAGAAGACACTGAGTTAGGAGTAGCTTAGCTTATTTAAGAAACTGGGAGGAGTTTTCATGTATATAGCATAGTAAGCATAGCATAGATAAGAGTGAAGCAGGATGTAACTGAAAAGACAGGAATGACAGGAATCCTGTGGGAACTTGTAAGCCTTATTAGATATTTAGGACTTTGTCCTAAGGACAATGGGAAGCCATTGAAGGCTTTTGCATAGGGGAGTGACAGGATTAATATTATTTTAAGAGTATTTTGATTGCTTTTTCTGAATGAACTAGAATATACTAGAGCAGGCCTTCCCAAACTTTTTAAACAGGGGGCCAGTTCGCTGTCCCTCAGACCATTGGAGGGCCACCACATACTGTGCTCCTCTCACTGACCACCAATGAAAGAGGTGCCCCCTCCTGAAGTGCGGCGGGGGGCCGGATAAATGGCCTCAGGGGGCCACATGCAGCCCACGGGCCTTAGTTTGGGGACACCTGTACTAGAGGAAGAGTAACTATGAAATTAGAGTAAAAAGGTAGAGTAACAGGAAGGATAAGCAGAAGCCTATTCCAAGAGGGCAGAGAAAAGACGATAAACTCAGTATGATGTTAGTACAGAAGGAGAGAAGTTGTTTGAGTCCAGAATTATTTGAGAGAAAATCAATAAGACTTAGTAGCTGACAGATGAGAGGAGTAAAGAAAAGCAAGATTTTAAGAATAATTCCCAGATCTCTGATATAAAGTATTAGATAAAACATATCTGTAGATATGGTATCTACAAAATGGGAAACACTGAAGATGATTTTCCTATATGAAGATCATTTTTGGACATACTAAGGGTTCTCTTCTACCCTGAGTGCTCAAAATTCTTCTTTGCTTATCTCCTGGACAGTTTCTTCTAGGGTTTGGTTCCCATTCAGACAACTTGAGGAACATTATTTGTACCAAGTAAGAAGGAGAATGTAGGGGAATAGGACAGGACAATATTTCTAAACCCTTAAAATAACTCTTTTTTTCAAAGGAAAAATAATCCCCAAATTCTCATATAATACTATATAATACTATCTATTCTACTATTTTATTTATACTCTGACTTAAAATACTTAAAACTATTTTGTCCTACTTATCACTAAAGCACTGAAAACAAAAGCAGAGGCTCAAAATAAATGTTAAGTTTAACAGATTTCTTTCAAATCTATAGAAGTATTCATGAATATTTAAGTAATTGAGAGCCACCGCCTTTCAAAAGTGTCATTTAAATTACTATCAGTATATTTTCAAAAGTTAGAACACTTTTATATTTTGCTATATTGATATTTTATAAAATAAACACATGAAACAAAATAAAATGTTTACTTTTTTTTTTACTTACCTCTAAAAGAAAATCCCCTAGATACTGAATTGGATAAAATGGAGCCTTAAAGTTATCCTTTTCTTTCTCAGCTTTAATTCTTGCATTACTGGCAATCACATGAGTTATTCCACTTGGTGAACTTTTTGGTAAAATAATATTTGCCTTTCCAGCCTCCAAAACTCTAAATAAAAATATAAATAGTACAAAAGTATTAGAAAATTTGAGTTTATTTGGTCAAATTATCTAAATTATTTCTTAGGAGTAGGAATAAAATTTTCTAATAGAGACTAATTTCTTTGGGCAGTTGAGGATCACAGAGAATACTGCAGTAATTTCTTAAATTATAAACTGTTCGGAGTAGATATTTAAAAAATCACGCTCAGTCTTTTTACCTTTCCATTTCTTGATAAAGGCAAGGCTTTTAGGGACTAAGAATATTAAAGTATTCCCTAAGAAAAAGCCATGTCAATAAACCAAAAGGATAGTGAAGGAAGTCTAAGGAAGCAGCTATCTTCAAAGGTAACATACTCCTAAGGAAGTAATTCTGGACCACAAAATATGAAACCAGTTGCAAACACTCCTAAAAAGATAGCTCTCAAAAAATTTTTTTGCCTTGAACTACTTTAAAAAAAAAAATTAGCCTTGATCTATATTAAGAAATACATTTTATGAAACAAAAAAATTAGAAAAAACAAATTAAAAAATACATTTTACATTTAGACAACAAAGATACACACAAGCAGAGACATACATCACAAAAGTTTTATGAAGTTCTGCTTCTGTTTAGACTTTAGAAAGCCACAAGAGAATGTGGCCATCACGTAACAATAAGAAAAAGTCAAATAATCTACAAAATCGTAACTTTTATTGAGTCCATCAGAGAACTGAGGTAACAAGTCAACCAAGTAAGCTGATTTCTGACAAGTGATAATCCCTTTTATGAAGAGACTGGACACCCAAACTATTTCACTTTTGGCAGATCAAAGGAGCAACATAGCTGACATAAAAACATGTAAAAATTAAGTAAAATTTACAAAATTTAAGGGCCAAGTACAACTAGCACCACAGTCTAGAAAATTGGAAGTCCCTCACAAAAGGGAAGCTTGTATTCATTAGCAAGCTCTTTGCCACATGACTCCATTAAATGCTCATGAAAAAGGCTGAGGGCAGATTGAGGAAATACAGGGAGCTCTCTTTGACAGCGTAAGTGGGCCAGTGGGGACTGGCTGCCATTAACAGATAGATATAAAACCAGGCCCACTTCTCCATATGATTCTCCTTCTTTCATATAAAGCAAAAGCCTTAAGTCATTTGGGTAAGAATAAGACAGTCTTTTGCCCTCAGACCCAGGAAAAGATGCACTGCTTCTCACGGAGGGGTAGAAATAAACCTTATCTGTCCTTGGGGAAGGGTTAGGAAAACCTCTTGCTGCCCAGCCTGGGAAAAATGCCCAGTTTCTGTATGAGGGATAGAAGCAAAAACCATCTTCCCTTAAGGAACAGGAGGAATGCCACTTAGGTCCCAGATCTTGTATCAATACACAGCAGAGATCTAATACTGGGGGAGAGACTGGAAACTCTTATTGCTCAGGACTCTGCCTACATGTACAAGGCAGAATTTAGCTGCCATAGAAGGCTGATAAACACTGAGAAAGCCCCAACCCCAGGGACTAATAATACAGAAAATGTTTAAGGGTGAAGCTTGTCTAGCAAAACTGAGAATATATCCAACCACACCCCTGGCCTGAAGCTGAGTAACAACAGAGAAAGGATGAGTATGAAGAGACCCCTTTGGTGACCCAGTAGTGCAGTAACTGTTGAAAGCTAAGGCAGAGCAAGAATAGTGATAAGAAACCCTCCAGCATTCCAGTCCAGTCCCTATAACAAGCACAAAGAAACTGGAGCCACTGCTATAAGATGAAATGATGCACTGAAGGTGATTATAGAATTAACAATACTCAAATTCATCTGTCTTGTCAGTTTTCTGCTGCTATAACAGAATACTGAAGACTTGGCAATTTATAAGAAAAGTTTTTATTCTTGGACTTTCAGAATCCCAAGAGCATCTGATGAGGACCTTCCTGCTACATCACTCCATGGAGATAAGCAGAAGAGCAAGAAAGACCATACGAGAAAGAGCTTACTTTTATAACCAAGCCATTCCCACGATAATGACAATAATTCCTTCTTAAAGGCCCCACCTCCCAATACCATCACAATGGCAATTAAATTTCAACATAAGTTTTGGGGGTTGGGGGTGATATTCACCATAGCACCAGCTCAACAACTGACAAGATTAATTCAATAACCCATACTAACTGCCTTACAGAAGAGGTAGGCCTACTTTTTGGATATAAATATTATTCATATCAGCTTCTAATTCTTGTACATGTGATATCTTGCATGCAATAAAAAATATGAAACATACAAAATAGGCAAGAAGAAAACCAAATCATTGTCAAGAGAAAGGAATCAACAATATAAACTGAAATATGACCCACATGTTGAAATTATCAGAAAACTTTAACATAACTGTGACTGATGTGTTAAATAAACTTATGGAAAAAGTGGACAACATACTTGAAGAATTGAGGAATTAACTGGAGACTTCAATGGAAATAGTAGAAATAAGAGGCATTATATCAAAGAAGAATTTCTTTGACAAGCTCATCTGCAGACTAAACACAACTAAAAAAGGAATCATTGAATTTTAAGACAGGTCAATAGAATTATCTTAACTAAAATTTAAAAAATTATCTAAAAAAAAAAAAAAAAAAAAACCCTGAGCATGCAATAGCTATTGAAAAGAATCAAATAGTTTAAAAAGCATGCAATGTAGTACCAGAAGAACAACATGAAGGATGAAATATTTAAAAGATGATGGCTGAAAAGTATTCATATTTAATAAAAGCCAAAAAAACTCCACATATATAATCTCAGAGATCCTCAAGAAAAATAAATCAATAATACACACACACACACACACACACACACACACACACACTAGTACACATCATAATCAAACTAGTAAAAACCAATGGTTAGGAGAAAATAGTGAAGAACATCAGGGAAGACGAAATGATAAAAAGGGAAGAGAAGAATGACAGCTGACTTCTCATCAGAACTATGTAAGCAAGAAGAAAGTGGCACACAATCTTTAATTACTAAAGTGAAAAAACTGTTGACCCGTAATTCCATATGCAGTGAAAATATCTTCCAAAAATAAACACCTCTCAGACAAATAAAAAATGAGATAAATCATTACCAGTACACTTAACATGATAAGAACTGTTAAAAGGAGTTCTTTAGGCAAAAAAAAGTGTGATGCCAGAGGAAAATCTGGATCTACACAAAGAAACTACATAAAGAAACCTAGAACTACACAAAGAAAAAGAAAATGGGACAAATGAAGTCAAATATTGAAGATATATTTCATTACTTTTAATCCTCTTAGAAGTAAGTGACTAGCAAAAGTAAAATATTACCAATGTATTTGGAAGTTTATAATATATAGAGAGAGTTCAATAATAGAAAAAAGGATAGGAAGAACAAATGGAAATACAGTTGACCCATGAACACCGTAGGTCCGCAAAAGTTACACACCAACGTGTCTGCCTCTTCTGCCTCCCCTTCTACCTCTTTTGCCTCTGCTACTGTTATTACAGCAAGACCAATACTTCCTCCTATTCAGCCTACATGGTTAATACAGTGAGCAAAGAGAACTGGAGGCAGGCATTGAACTTTTATGTAATTCTGAGATGTATCTCAGGAAGTCCACTCAGGTGTCACCTTAAAAGGAGGATAGGAGGTAACGGCACAGCTAAACGACCTGGAGTCAGATGGAAATAAAGCAAGGAGGTAGAGCTCACAAAAATCAGTGCAGAAATCTTGGTGGTAGCACAACATACCTGCCATCAATGGCACCAAATCAGAGGTATCAGTCAACAACATAGCACCTGCAAAGCTACTGTGATGTTCTACCTGGTGCAAATCCCTAGATGGGCAGCCTCCAGGCTGAGCCTCAAAGCCTACCCCATGGCCTCACCCGGGAAGTGAGACACGTACCACATTGACAATATAAAAAACCAGGTGCTAGTTCTGCCATAACTGGGAATTTAAACAGCACTTTGTGCAGCCACAACAGTAATGCCAAGATTCCACTCAGGAAGGGAAAGGACCCCATACTGCATTTCAGCAGAGTGGGGGCTGGTTCTGCCACATGTAGGTGTTGAAATAGCATTTAGTACAGCCTTAACACACATCCAAAGACTCCACTGAGGGAGGGAGATACCAACCACAGTATATTTCAGTGAACTGCAGAGGCTAGTTCTGCCACACTCAGAACTTTTGAACTCAGCTCAGCTTCAAAGCCTACCACAAAGCCCCACCAAAACTGCAAGACAAACTGCAGCTATAATTTGTACTAAGCACAGCAGTTAGGTCACATCCATCTTAAGCAGCAATTCTACTTAATCTTGGGGTCCAAATCATAACCTTGTTAAACTGCAGATCTCAAATACTGGTAAGATCTAGCCAGGGAATACACCCTAAGTCTGGCCCAACTGGAGCCAATTGCAGTGCCTAGCTAGACAGCAGCTCTGCCTGATTGCAGAGCTCAGACAGTGGTCCTGTCTAACAGCAGAGCCCAGCCAGCACAATCCCTTCTCCAAAATCACAGGAAAGATAGCAGCCCAGTCCTCTAGAGTACCAGAAAGCAAGCTCTACCTGTTTGGAGACATTACCAGCCCATACAGAACCACAAGCAGTGAAATTCTATCCCTGTCAAGGAAACACCTGTAGAAGTTGGAAGAGGTGGCTGTCTCCAAAAATGAAGAGACCAATGCAAAAACTCAATTATTACAAAGAATCAGGACACTTCCAAAGAAATTAACAAAGCTCTAACAATGAATTCTAAAGTAATGGAGAGCTACAGGTCTATGGAATGATAGTCAAAGAATAATTCCTTTAAAGAAGTTCAGGACAGGCATGGTGGCCCATGCCTGTAATACCAACACTTTGGGACGCTGAGGTAGGTGGATCACTTGAGGTCAGCAGTTCAAGACCAACTTGACCAACATGGCAAAACCCCATCTTCACTAAAAATACAAAAAAATTAGCTAGGCATAGTGGCAGGTGCCTGTAATCCCAGCTACTTGGAAGGCTGGGGCAGGGGATTCATTTGAACCCAGGAGGAAAAGGTTGCAATGAGTCAAGACTGTGCAACTACACTCCAGCATGGGTGACAGAGCAAGTTTCCATCTCAAAAAAAACAAACAAAAAAAACCTAGCCAAACAAAAGTACAATAAAATACAAGATACATACAGATTAAAAAAGTAAATGAAATATGGAAAACAATACATGAACAAAACGAAGTGACAAAGAAATAAAAACAATAAACAAAAATGAAATATTAATTCTGGAGATGAAGAATATAATCACTAAAGTGAAAAAAGCAATAGAAGGCTTCAACAACAGTAGGCTTATTCAAACAGAGGAAAGAATCAGTGAGTTCAAAGACACAACATTTGAAATTTTCCAGTCAGAGAAGCAAAAGAACCCAAAAGAATGACGAAAACCTATGGGGATTATGAGACCTAATGACCGCATTAAAATAGTTCAGCAGAATAGAAAGGAAAGGGACCAGAAGGCATATTTAAGGAAATAATGGCTGAAAACATCTGAAATCTGGGAAAAAATGGCCACATCCAGGGACAAGAAGCATAGTGGTTTCTAATCAAATTTAACCTAAAGAAGAGACCACCAAGGTACATAATAACCAAATGATCAAAAATCAAAGACAAAAATTCTGAAAGCAGCAAGAGATAAGAAACATATCGCATATGAGTCTGAACCAGCAGATTTGTCAGCAGAAACACTCTGAGTCAGGAAAGAGTGCTATGATATACTCAAAGTGATAAAGGAAAAAAAAACACTGCCAATACAGCTTACCTGGCTAAACTGCTCTTTGGAAACAAGGGAGAAATTAAAAATTTCCCAAACAAAAACTAAAGCAGTTAATAATTCCTATCAGGCTGGCCTGATAGGAATTATTAAAGAAAATTCTTTAAGCTATATCAAAAGGCCACTAATCAATATCATAAAACATACCAAAGTGCAAACTTAACAATCCAAGTAAGGCAGAATCATATTCAGAATACTCTGAACTAAAATTGTGGTGTGTGAAGCAATTGTATTTCTAGTGCAGTGATTAACAGACATATCTATCAAAAACCGTAACAATTGTCAGGGGATACAAATTTTAAAATAATATAAATTTTGACATCAAAACATAAAATGGAAGAGAGTAAATGTGTAGAGTTGATACACGTGATCAAAGTTATCAGCTTGACATAGTCTGTTATAAGAATAAAAAATTTTACATAAGTACATGATACCCACAAAGGAACATCTCTACCAGATACACAAAACATAAGTAAAAGGGAATCAAAGCAAACCACTGCAGAAAACCATCAAACACAATGGAAGACAGCAACATAGGAAGAAAGAAACACAGCATATACAAATCAACCAGGAAACAAGCTACAAAATCACAGTTCTAAGTCCTTACTCACCGATAATTCCTCCAGACTTAAATGTATTAAATTCTCCAAACAAAGACATATAGTGGTCGAATAGATTGGAAAAAAAGAAACAAGAGCCAACTATGAGCTGCCTATAGGAGACTAACCTCACCTCTAAGAACACACATAGAGTGAAAATGAAGGGATGGAAAAGGATACACCATGTAAACGAAAATCAAGAGAGCAGGACTAGCTACACTCTTACAAGACAAAACATAATTTAAACTGAGGAACTGTAAACAATGCTTGAAACTGCAAAACTGTTAGAAGAAAACACAAGGGATAAACTACAGGACACTGTTCTGGGCAATGTTTTTTTTTGATTTGGCTCCAATAGCTCAGCCAACAAAAATGAAAATAGAAAAGGGAGGTTACATTCAACTAAAAAGCTTTTGCACAGCAAAGGAAACATTTAACAGAGTGAAGAGCCAACCTATGGAATGGGAGATAATATTTTCAAGCCATATATGTAAAAAAGGGTTAATATCCAAATACAAGGGACTCAATAGCAAGAAAACAACTTTATCAAAAATGGGCAAAGGATCTGAATAGACTCTTCTCATAAAAAGATAAATAGCAAACATAAATTTTTAAATGCTCAATACCACTAATCATTAAGAAAGTGAAAATTAACTCTCACTTCTGTCAGAATGGTTATCATCAAAAAGATGATTATCAGTAAAGATATGGACAAAAGGGAGCCCTGGCATTCCCTATTTGTTGGGAATGTAAATTAATACAGCCATTATGAAAAATAGCATAAATGCTCCTCAAAAAACTAAAAACAGTTATCACATAATGCAGCAAGCCTACATCTGTGTATATACTGAAAGGATTTGAACCCAGTATGCTAAAGAGCTATCTGCTCTCCCTTTTTTACTGCAGCGTTATTCATGACAGTCCTAAAGTGTAAATTACAATCTAAAGTGTAAATCAATTAATAGAAAAATATATTCACAAAAGAATACTACTATATAGACTTCAGAAAGAGAGAAATTATGTCACTTCCAACAACATGGATGAACTGGAGTACATTAGGCTAAATGAACAATCCCAGTGCAGAAAGACAAATACTATGTTTAACTTACATGTGAAAGTCTAAAACAAATATAGTAAAGTTGAACACATAGGTGCAGAGTGCATAATGGTGGCTACCAAAGGCTGTGGGGGGTGGGAGAGAATGGGAAATGTTGGTCAAAGTATATAATAACAACTATTTGAGATAATACAAAAAATAAATTAAAATTACAAAATCAGAGCCATTGACAAAATACATATGCAACTGATAAGAGGACTTAAATATAAATAAAGCAAAAGCTGATAGAACTAATAGAAGTAATGATTAATTCAAAATTACAGTTAGAAAATTAAGTTATTCTATCAGTAATTGGGAATAATAAACTTGTAAATAATCAATGGGTCAAAGAAGAAATGAAAAAGAAAATGGAAAATACTTTGAACTTAATAAAAAAGCAACCACTGGCCGGGCGCAGTGGCTCAAGCCTGTAATCCCAGCACTTTGGAGGCCGAGGTGGGTGGATCACGAGGTCAAGGGATGGAGGCCATCCTGGTAAACATGGTGAAACCCCGCCTCTACTAAAAATACAAAACATTAGCTGGGTGTGGTGGCGCGTGCCTGTAATCCCAGCTACTCAGGAGGCTGAGGTAGGAGAATTGCCTGAACGCAGGAGGCGAAGGTTGCGGTGAGCCGAGATCGTGCCATTGCACTCCAGCCTGGGTAACAAGAGCGAAACTCCATCTCAAAAAAAAAAAAAAAAAAAAGTAATTCGAATTTGTGGGATGTAAATAAAGCAATGCTGGGGGCAATTAATAGAAAAATAGAAAGGTGATCCAAGTTTTTACCTCAAAAACAAACAAACAAAAAATCAACCAAAGCAAATTAAGCCTAAAGTAAGAAGGCTAGAAATAACAAAACCAAGGACAGAAATCAATGAAATAACAAACAATAGAGAAAATTAACAAAACCAAAATGAGTATTTCAACTTCCAACTGTTCTTCACTAGTATATGAGAATGCAATTAAGTTTTACACAGTGATCTATTGTCTTTTGATCCTGCTAAATTCACCAGTTCTAGTATCTTGGTTAATATGGTGAATTATATTTGATTGATTCTTAAATGTTAAACCAAACTTGTATTCTCAAGATAAACCATACATCATGGCATATTATCCATTAATATTTTGCCGATTCTATTTGCAAGTATTTTGTTAATGATTTTTGTATCCTAAACCTGATAAATGACCTAAACTTAATGTCATATTTAATGGTGAAAAATTTCTTTTCCCCCATGATTGCTAACAAGGCAAAGATGGGGACTCTCATCAATTCTCTTTAGCATTTACTAAATGTACTAGCAATTGCAGTAAGCCAAAAAAAGAAATGAGGCATAAAATTGTGAAGAAAGAGAAATTGTCTTTATTTCCAAAGACATGGCTGCATACTAAAAATTTTAACCAAGATACTAGAACTAGTGAATTTAGCAAGATCACAAGATTCCCCTGCCATAAGAAAAGTAACAGCAGTCTTAGAATAGTTTACCCAATAAAAAAGCTTTAAAAGATATAGCAAGGGCAAAATGAAATAAAATTATGGTGAAAACAGTATGAATAATGAAGATACCACTCCATAAACCCAGAATGATGCTTTTGTAGTAACAGCAAAAAACTAAAAGTGCTTAAAAACTAATCTTACATTAGTTTTCCTTTTTGTTTTGCTTGAGTTGGCCAAAAGGAATAATATGGAAAGTAAAATAGAGATATCTAGAATAATCTAAAACAATATTGTAAAGTAGATTTTGCTCTATTAAAGACACATAACTTTAAATGAGCATAACAGCTTACCTAGGAGATTGGAGTAAATCACCATGACTCACTTGGGCTAAATTAATAATTGCAAAAACATACAGAAACTACTCATGCAAATCAAAATTATTTTCTGATTAGTTATTTTAGCTTTTATGTAATCACATCCTACCTTATAAGAGAATCACTTCGCTTATCAGTTCTAACAAGGAGGACAACTTTCCATCTGTGGAAGGCTCCTGGAGCACCAGTGCGTTTCAGTTCTTCACGCCATCTTTTAGGTGCAGATTGCATTTGAGGTGAATAATCAGAATCTTTTTCAATTTTATATCCCCATTCATAAGTTGTTTCATCAAGCCATCTGCCACTTTTGGCACTATGAATTATATAGTCTTTAGTTAGTATCCACTTTCCTAGAAAGCAAATGAGCTGTCAGTCACAAAGGAATTTTGGTTCTGATAAACAATAAGGATCAAATATAAAATAAGTCAACTTTTTTTCAAGATAAGACTCTTAAGCTATACTGCCAACATTATCTTTGAACTATGCATTTGGTGAAATTTTGATAGTGAGAGGCTTACAACATCACTGAACATTGTATGTAATCTTTTCCCTGATAATTACACTTCTAAATATAATTCCATAGTTATAACCTAGTTATAATTATGGTTTCATTTAAATATAACTCTAAATTATAATTCTAAACACAAATCCAAAGCTTTAAAATCCAAAATAAAATGTGGTATTACTTGAACTATTGTTACCATCATTATTCACTATTTTGGGTTAGATTTATGTTTTCTTTTCCTCTCTCTCTCCTTTTTCTTTCTTCCTTCCTTCTTTCCCTGCCTTCCTTCTTTCCTTCCTCCCTTCCTTCTTTCCTTCCTTTTCCTTCCTTCCTCCCTGCCTCCCTCCCTCTCTGTCTCTCTTTCTTTCAAGATGAGGTCTCACTATGCTGCCCAGGCTGTTCTTAAACTTCTAGACTTGGCCTCCCAAAATGCTGGGATTACAGGCATGAGCCTCCACAGCCGGCCAACAGTTTCTTTATCTGGTCATCAATGATCTTTTTGAACACCATGTACAATGTATATTTTCATAAATGCAAGTGTTTTTCTTCTAAGTTAAATTAAAAGGGAATAAATTCACCCAAGTTACATACACCTTTTTTTCTTTCTTTTTTTTTGCAATCAGACTAATGATATGTCAGATCAATCACAGAAGAGAAATTTATAAAACTGGCAATGGTGACAAAACGATAGAGGAGAAGACTAAGTCTTAATTTGGGTCTATAGTATTTAATATCTTACAAAAATAAAATAGCATAACCATTGCTTCACTGTATGAATAGGAGGAGAAGCAGCAGAGAGAGAACAAAAGCACTGACTATATCCAATGACAGATCAAAGAAAACTTGACTGAAAACAGCTGAGACTTTAACAAAAGCTTAAGTTTTGACAGTTTGTGCCAATCTTTCTGTTAATTTTTTTTTTTTTTTTTTTTTGGTTTTAAACAAAATACACTAAATCCTTGGTGAGGTAAGTATTTCTGCCTATTTAATACGTTGTTCATGTGTTACAAAATTTTACTCAGAAAAGTAAGCCAAAAATATGTTAAATATTTTCAAAAAATATCAGAAAAACACATTTTGTTTGATATATAAATATGCTATCTCTCCAGAGACTAAAATACTTTCTTTAACACGAAGATTGTTTTCAAAAGTTGAGGGAAGACAGTTAACGTACCTGCTGCACAAGCTGCTAAAAATTTTTCACTCTTACATAGGCGTTCGGCTATAAGATGTGTACAATTTTTGTATTTCTGGAGGGAAAAATTCATATCAAGAAATGTTACAAAAGAAAGATTTCCTTTATAACACATTCTTTTTATTCTTGCAGTATCAAGAAGGCTGGCCAGTATTTTAATTCCAGTTATTTTTCAACTATACCTTGAACATTTTGATAAGTTTCTTACCTCACTCTTAATAAAGGTACAATCTAGTTTTAAAAGTAATTTGACTAGAGCTTCCTTTTCTTCCATCTTAAATCCTGTCATTTGTATGATATGCTTTGGGGCACCATCTCCCATCTAACAAATATAAAAATACAGAAGATAACATACATTAAAGATATTATTCACAGGGTTAACAGTATTATTTTTTCTTAACTGTGAGTACTAAACTATTAAACACATAATGAATTTAAAATATTAGGCATAACTGTTAAAACAACAGTAAAATTACTTATATACAATAGAAATTAGTCCTAAAAGTTATCTTCTCAAAATGTAGCCTTAAAAAATTGAGGTTTTTTTTTTTTTCTCTGAACATTGAAAGTCTGACTTAGTACATTATTTGACAGTAAAACACACTGATGAATAAATATACTTCTTCAGAAAATGACAGAATGTTATACAAATATTGGCATAATGTTATACCAGCTTCATTTAAACAGTATTGTTGTTTGCTAAGAGCTTTTGAAACTTACAGACAAGGAAACAATCAGATTTTACATGTGGACAAATTAATTAAAGAATATCTGGAGAAGTTAACAGAACTCATGGTCCCACAATATTTATATCCAATAATTTAGTAAAATAGGTACACATAATGATCCTGGATCCTATTTGCAATCCACATTTCTTAACTTTGCTATATATATGTTAATTTCACCATTTACAAGGTAGACTGAAAATCATGTTTTTTATTTCAAATCTACATTTATTTTCATAGGGACCTTAATCTATGTTTTAACATAGTTCACAAAAAGTAATTTGTGTTTAGGGAGTACATAACTCACTGAATTTCTCATCAGAATACAATTTTGTTTGTTTACACGAGGTTGAACTGGAAAACTAGAGAGCGTCTTAGAGAAAATCTCATTCTTTTCACAGACAAGGAAAGCAGGGACTAGAGAAATCAGGGCAGTTTTTCATTTCTCTAACAATTTTGTCACCATAGCTGCGGATTAATAGTTAAGTAATGCCATAGCTAGAGTAAGAACAGTGGCTGTTTTCAACAACCAAACTAACAATAACTTCTTTCAACACAATTGCAAGTAAACTTCAAAAACTCTAACAGTTTGAAACCAAAACTAACAGCACACAACTGATGAAGTGAGAAATGTTCTCTTTTGACAAAACATACATACATACATACACACACACACACACACACTCTCTCTCTCTCTCTCTCTTATTTAAAGGTTGAAATTCAAGAGTTAAAATGGAAAGAAAGTCTCACTATAAACAATATAAAGCATCACTCAAAAGTGGACTTTTATTTCCTTGCTTAGAGTTTCGAAAAGGAGGAAGTCCAGCTAGGGTAACTTCACTTTTGGTTTTTCTCTACACTTCATCACTCCCCAATTTGTTGGAGAAGCTCCTTGAGACAACTAAATGGATATGCTTTGCTCAGCCTATCTGCATATCTGCAAAGACAGTCCATATAAATGCTTTCTGACACATCTTAAGGAGCTGCCAGCAGCAGTCCTGTACTGCCTGTGTGGATAAGTCAATTCAGAAGTTATATACTAAGAAGCACACTGTGGTTCCATATCAAAACCATCGCCTTCTTGCAGAAGGATGATGCAGGAAAAACAACAAAACAAAAACAATCACTTCCTTCAAAACAACGTTTATTCAATAAAAAAGCTGATAATTCGAACTCAATTTATCTAACTTTCACATTTCCCAGCTGGCTGCAAAAGAAACAAAGGGATATGATGTATTTTAACCCTCTAAAACTCAGATACAGAACATAAGAAAGTGCCTTAAAGATAAGGGTCTTCAATGAAATAAAGGCTTTTTAAAAAAAGTTACAAAGATTTGGTGTAGTCAGTATAAAAATTTTAAGTGCACCTAATAGGGATTCTTAAGAAAAATTAATCATACATATGAAACACTATCATCAGGATATTAATCAAGCTTCTTGTATAAGGAACTCTTTACTGTATTAATCATGCAATTTTTAAAAACCATTCATATGGGTTAAATAACATAGCTCTTGAGTGTTAATATCCATTAACAATATAGACAAGCAATACATAAAAACTAAAAGAATACGCTCTGCTGCTAGAAATAATAATTTAGTCTGATGCAGAACACATATGAACACACACAGAAAAGCTGTATTTGGATTATAAAACATACGTCCATAACTAGGGAGAAATGCTTTCATTACTTCTAGGTAATAATTTTTTTAAATCCTTTAACCAAATTTCCTTTAGAAAATGATAGGTCTTGGCAGGGTGCTGTGGCTCATGCCTGTAATTCGAAAACTTTGGGAGACCAAAGTGGGTGGATAACAAGGTCAGGAGTTTGAGAGCAGCCTGACCAACACGGTGAAATCCCTCTACTAAAAATACAAAAATCAGCCAGGTGTGGTGGTGGGTGCCTGTAATCCCAGCTACTTGTGAGGCTGAGGCAGGAGAATCGATTGAACCTGGGAAGCAGAGGTTGAAATGAGCTGAGACCACACCATTGCACTCCATGCACTCCAGCCTGTGTAACAGAGCAAGATTCTGTCTCAAAAAAAGAAAGAAAGAAAGAAAAAGAAAACAATAGGTCTTTTCAGAAATACTGGACAAGTGAAATTAAATACATCTGTGAATATCATCTCAGTATTCAATACTTGTTTTTATCAAACTGGTTTAATCAAAAACCTCTGTTATCAGAGGAATACAAGTGTTTTAAACACATAGGCTTTTTCTACTATTTGTATATTTTTAATGTATTTTAGAGCTTCAAGAGCTATTTAATGGCTATTTCAGGAATATTGCCAAAGAAGTTTGAGTGGCTTTAAAAAAAATCTAAAATCCTCCCTGAGTATTCTAAAAATTGACATATAAAAACAAATGTTAAATAATCGAAATACACAAAAAGTAATGAAAAATGAAAATTGTTATAATACTGTTACCCCAAAAACCTTTATTTAAAGCTTATCCTTTAAATTGTATTATTTTGCTTCCTCAAATTAAGTAAGTTACACAAAAATAAAGGAAACATAGTACACTATGTTGCTGTTTCCAGATCATGTTAATAATAGCTACTTTAAAATCTGAATATTATTAACAAGGCAACCTTCTAACATATTTTGGTTTCATGTATAAATTATTAGGATTTACTGGAGTTAGTGTGTAAAGCAAAGTTTTCATCTTAAACCACATTGTCTTTTTAATAAAATAAATATGATGGAAATAACCCACTTTGTGTATTTAACAGCATTTTCTGTCAAAGCAAGAGCCCATAGTAAAATGAACACAGGACTAACTGTATCATAGCAGAAATCAGGAACTCCTTTTAAAGCAATTTCTTTCCTTTGAAAATGATTAAATACGAAACTGAAATTAAATATACGATGGAAAGGGAAGTAGGAAACCAAGATGAAAAAACAGAATGTCCTGATTCAGACATTATCCATAAAATATGGATATGTTTAAAAACAAATCAGAATACAGAACATTCTAGTCACAAGTTTATCAGAAAAACTGAACTACTAGCTAAATTTTCATCACAAATCCCAGAGATGGCCCAAAATAACTAGCACAGTTTTAAAACAGTTTTCTACAATAAAATTATCTACTTCAAACAACAAAGTTTATAATACATTTAGCAATGCTTTTTTTTTTTTTTTTTTTTTTTAACAGCACACGATATGACAAGTGAATGACCTGGATCACAGACCTAATTCATGCAGTTACACAACTACATATGTAGGTATAGACATAAACATGTATAGATATACTGATAAGATTTATTTACAAAATTCATGGTTTGATGGTTCTTTCTGACCCTGTAGGATTAACAACACAATAACCTGACATGCCAATGAAGCCAAAAAGAGCACTACAATTGACTTAATACATATCAATAACCCAGACAATTAAAATTCCTTTAAAGTACAGTCAAGTTTAGTGTAGGTGATATGTCTGGGGTATGGAGGATCAAGAGCTAACTTCTATAAGTCTTTCAGCACAAGTAAGAAAGTAAATTGTACAGGTGGTTATATACAGAAAAATTATAGATCTCTCTAGAACTCATGGCAGGGCAGGGGAGTGGGGTGGTGCTCCTTGGAGCATTCATATAGAAGATACTATCCTAACACCAAAAAAAGGAGGGAGGAAAAAAAAAAGCAAAAAAGAGAGAATGACTTTTGACAGTTAAAAGTTTTATCTTTACTATCAAAAAAATTAAAATTATATGACATTCTTGGTTATGAGAAAATGTCCTTCTGTAGTAATTATTTTTAAAATCTTATCGTAATTAACAAAAATTAGTTACTTACCTTGAACAATAAAATACAACAAGAAGATAATGACTGTGAACAGAGTTAGCCTTTATGCATAGCAAGCAACTGTCTCTGTGGTATGGACTTTCCCAAAATATCTCCCACATGGGTCTATTCTTGATGCCTGAAATTCCTTTGCAGTTGGTGCAAGTCCAAAATGCAAATAAAACCTATAGAACTCTTCATCTTAATTAAGAACAATATTTATTATAAGTTAGTTTTTTAGGTCCTTTGAATTCTTTATAATGTAAACACATCGCTAGAACATGTTTGAAGAACATGTTGAAAACTGAGCTCAGAGAAAAGGAAGAATACAGATGTGAATACAAAGGTCTGGTTTGGGAGGCAAGATGAAAAGAGCAGGGTACAACCCTTGGAAAAAAACGGAAGGTGCTACAAAAATGAGAGGCAAGGATGCAGAAAGAGGCTTTTGTAAGGAAAGTAAGGATAAACCCTTCCCTACTCTGCATTACACAGGGCTGGTTTCTTTTATAGCCAGCCCTACCTATAAATGAACTCCGAGAAGATAAGGAATCTTAGAAATAAATTGTATGGTATCATTAGCTAAAATAAATAAGGGTTTAACAAAAAACTTTGATTTATATATTTAAGAACTAAAGTTTTTCCCTCAAAAATAATCTTAACAGATTTATCTTTCAGTTTTAACATGCACTTATTATAGAAAATTTGAAAAATTCAACAAAGTATTAAGATTAAAATCATTTCTAATTCCTTCAGTCTGTAATACCATTGTTACCAATGGCGGGGCGGGGGGATCGACTTCCAGGTTTTATCTGAGTGTGAAAAACATATTTGACAAGATTTGGATATTACATTGTCTCATATCTTCAGTTTTATGTCATATTATATTGTAATCATTTTTCCATTCCACTTAATACTCTTCATGGTGTAAGGTCATATGATAACTAGTGGTTTCTCAATGTTTATTAGTTTGGTGAATCCTTTTGATTTTAAACCTACTTCTACAACAAACTCAGAAAAATTATTTGAAACTCCCCTCATCTGAAAAACATATACCAAGCACTGAATGCAGTCAAGATTTTTGCTCTGAATTAATAAGTCTAAAAAATTTTCATGATTTCTCTTATCCAAAACTTTAACTGGGAAAGTAAACAAATAATTGCTAAAACTGAAAAGGGGTCCAAGTGTTGGATCTCTGTTTGAACCAATAGTGCAAAAGGCAGACACATGCCACAGTACTTACACTGTGTGTGTAAAATTCTGTTTGGCTTTTAACTACTAGTGGAGTTTAGAAATTCTGTGCCCTTTAGGCCTAGGAGCTGAATTAGGCCCTTGGTTTAATTTTATTCAGCTGGCCTTGGGACATTTTGTTTTTTAAGACACAGTGTCTGTTTCTTACCCCATCCTTCAAAGATATGAGAGAGAGATGAAAATGCACTCATGTGCACGCACACGTGCACATACACACACACACACAAACATTATTTGACAGAAGTATCCAGTGATGAGACTTGAGGGATGCTCTTACTTCCATGGCATTATTTGGGAAAGAAGTAGTAATTAGTCCTTTTGATGACAAATTTAGCACTAGAAGGAAGAAATGGGAACAAGCAGCAAAGTGAATATGGTTAGAAAGAAATAAGAGGCTTGCAGGGACATATGGAGATGTCCAATCTATCCAATACTGTATAAGGCACAGGCTGGGCAGGTGTTAGTTTAGGGATAAAGGAGTCCTTAAGGAAGCAAGTTGGTCAAGAGAAGCAAGGTTCAGAAAAAAAAAATAGGTGGACAGTAGATATTTATTAGCCAGAGGGGATAGAAGTCAAACGTGCTTTGATATCCTAGGAAATTTGGTTTTCTTAGGAGGAAGAGCATACGTCTAAGATTGAACAAGCAGTATTTAACTTTTATTGGGGACCTACTGTGGCTTATACACTTCATATATTTTCCTTCTTCACAACATAAGTGCTATTTATTATTCTTATGCAGATGAGGATACTGGGAAATCTGAGTGATTAAGAAACTACTTCAAGATTACACAGCTAGTAAATGGTGAAAACAAGTTGAAAAGATAAGTCTTTGTGCAAAAATCATATGCCTTTTCTACAACACCAAGCTGTATTAAATTTCAGAAGTTAGTCTAATACTTTTAACCACATTTTAATTTCATAGAGCAACCTACTTTGAGCTAACACAAGAGAAAGATACATTACATGAAAGGACCAGTACAAAGGTGGGAAGACATTTAGAACAGTAACATCACTGAAAAAAAATTAAACATAATTATAAATTATTTCCAGTAAAATAATTGTCTAAAATTTCAAGGCATTTCTAGAAGCAATCTAAAGAGTGCTTTTTTTTTTTCCTTAATGAGAAACAAAGTTTTCATTATTTTCCTCTCAAAAGTGATTTGGTATCACTCAGTCATTACAGTAATTCATAAGGGCTTTCTTCCTCCTCAAAACTAACCCAACAGTGTATTTTAAATTTCAAAGTAATTTTGAAAGAAAGTATGAATTAAATGAACTTAAAAGTTTCAGGGTTATTCTACCTTTTTTTTTTTTTTTTTTTTTTTTTTTGAGACGGAGTTTCGCTCTCGTTACCCAGGCTGGAGTGCAATGGCGTGATCTCGGCTCACCGCAACCTCCGCCTCCTGGGCTCAGGCAATTCTCCTGCCTCAGCCTCCTGAGTAACTGGGATTACATGCACGTGCCACCACGCCCAGCTAGTTTTTTGTTTTGTTTTGTTTTGTTTTTTTTTGTATTTTTAGTAGAGACGTGGTTTCACTATGTTGACCAGGATGGTCTCGATCTCTTGACCTCGTGATCCACCTGCCTCGGCCTCCCAAAGTGCTGGGATTACAGGCTTGAGCCACCGCGACCAGCCTTATTTTACTTTTAAGCAGTAGCATTCCCTTATAAGGTGAGAAATAGTACATAGTACCTTACACAGATGTATTTTCCATTAGTATATTCAAAGAGTCAATTACAAGAGTAACAGATGATGTCTCATTTTAGTTATATTTTTGAGGGATTTGTTTTGTTTAGGGTTTATTATTCAATGTCTACACAGAATTTTTTATTTTACTTGTTAAAAATGTTTTCCTGGCTGGGTATGGTGGTTCATATCTGTAACCGCAGCACACAATCACAAGCTCAGGAGTTTGAGACGGCCTGGCCAATAAGGTTAAATCCAGTCTCTACTAAAAATACAAAAATCAGGCGGGCACCTGCAGTCCCAGCTACTCTGGAGGCTGAGGCAGGAGAATTGCTTGAACCAGGAGGCGGAGGCTGCAGTGAGCTGAGATCAGGCCACGGCACTCCAGCCTGGGTGACACAGTGAGACTCCTTTCTCAACAAATAAATAAAATAAAATAAAATAAAATAAAATAAAAATGTTTTCTTTAGGCCAGGCACAGTGGCTCACACCTGTAATTCCAGCACTTTGGGAGGCTGAGGTGGGCGGATCACCCAAGGTCGGTCGGGAGACCACCTGACCAACATGGAGAAACTCCGTCTCTACTAAAAACACAAAATTAGCCAGGCATGGTGGTGCATGCCTGTAATCCTAGCTACACGGTTGGCTGAGGCAGGAAAATCATTTAAAACTGGGAGGCGAAGGTTGTGGTGAGCTGAGATCTTGCCATATGCACTCCAGCCTGGGCAACAAGAGCGAAACTCTGTCTCAAAAAAAAAGTTTTCTTTAAATGGTGAAAACCCTACTTTAGAGTAATAGAATCAAGATACATATAATAAGGAAAATACTAATTAATAAAGCTATACTATTGCTTTCCCAAAAAGCAATGTTTTTGAACATCATTGTAAATTGTGGATGCGTATTATGAAATCTTAAGAGTTCTGAATTTTGATTATCAAAAGTAACCACATTTGACCATCTTTTCAATGACTTTCACGTGCTATATGCTTTATGCTTTAGGGAAGAAAATGTTACGTCATATAATTCAATTTTACTTAATCAATAACGCCTAATAAAATCTGAATTTAGAAAACAGAATAGGGGTTTATATGCAATACTGAAGGTTAGCTGTCTTTAAAATAAAATCGACTTAAACATTCAAGTATTTGAACATCCTAGTTCCTTTAAATTAAGAATACTGAGTTAACTTAGAAATAATGAAATTTGGCCGGGCCCGGTAGCTCACGCCTGTAATCTCAGCACTTTGGGAGGTCGAGGCAGGTGAAATCACTTGAGGTCAGGCGTTTGAGACCAGCCTGGCCAACATGATGAAACACCATCTCTATTTAAAATACAAACGGCTGCGCGTGGTGGTGTGCACCTGTAATCTCAGCTACTTGAGAGGCTGAGATAGGAGAATTGCTCGAACCTGGGAGGCGGAGGTTGCAGTGAGCCGAAATCGCGCCACTGCACCCAGCCGGGCGACAGAGCAAGGCTCTGTCTCAAAACAAACAAAACAGAATAAATGAATGAATAAAATTTACTCCCTTATATATAAATCCACTTCAAACTAGCAACGTACATATTGAACACCTGCAATATACGTAATCAAACTTTCCAACAATGAGAACATCTTGCACATCCACAGATATTTCCACGAATTGAAGCACAACGGAATAACATAAACCAAAAAGTCCAAAAGGTGAATTGTCTGTCACATAAATTGTAAATTCAGTTCAGTTGTTCATTCCCAATGTCTCAACAACAAATTTTTCTTTTTAATAAGAGTAACTCGTCAAAAAAGAGGATGCTGCCTCCAAAATCAAGCTCCATGTAACACCTGAGTCAAATAATGGTATAAAGTACCCAAGACCAGTATTTTTTTGTTTGTTTTTGTCAGTATTTAATCTGAGGCTGCGGAGGTGGAAGAAATCTTAAAATAACCACTTAGTCTTGTTTCCAGCCTTCAAGCAGCTGAAATATAATCCCCAGAAACATAGACCCTCCCTCCAGGGAAACGTGTATGTGTGTATGTTTGTGTTTAAAGGCCTATAGCAGTCAGAGATAGGATCACTGCCGTTTGGGTATGTTTTTTAAAAAAATTCTACTAGAGAGGAAAGAATAACACAATTTTCTTCGTCACAGGAAGGTGGGCCTGGGGGAACCCGGCCACCTTCGAAGACGCTAAGTTATGGAAAGCAGCCAAAACTCTGGGATCTAGGTGAGGCGTCCCCATCGGTTCTATGGAAACGAGAGACGCGGGGGGCCTAGCGCCTTCCAAGCGGCGGACCGAGCTGCAGAGCTGCGCAAGCAGGAGCGGGGGAAGCGGCTCAGCCCAGTACTGCAGGGAGGCGCTCGGTGCCGGTCCCCGCCGCGGTGAGCGTCGCGGGGTCTGCAGCAGCAGCCCACCACACCAATTCCAGCGCCAGGCGCGAAGTAGGGAGAGCGGGAAAAAACAGCGGCTGGAGAAAGGGCGAGAGCCAGACACCGCCGCCGCTCACCCCAGCCGCAACCTTCTCAGCCTCAGAGCCGGAGGGCAGAAACTTAGGGGGTACAGATCCGGGAAGAAACATCCCCACAGACACAGAATACACTGTGTCTTCCGAGCTGAGCCCCTTTACCTTCCCGGCCGAAGTGTGTAGGATGCTTTCCTCGGGTGGCGGCGGCGGCAAGAGCGACGACTGCCGCTGCAGCACTCAACTGCTTCACTAATCCGGGCTCTGGGAAATAATTTCCCGCCGCGCGCTAGGCAGCCCCGGAAGCGTTAGTATCATTTCCGGTTGGTTGTCAGTGACGCTCTGGAGCCGTCGCCAGGGTCGTCATAGCTGTTGCCGGGCTTGAGTCCGGCCAACGGGTCAGGCTCCCGCTACATCACCACTGGAGGTGAAAGACTGGTAAGTGATTTTACTGGGTTGCCTCCTGGGCCTGGCTGGCCAGGGCTATCTGCAGCATTTTGGCCAGCCCCAGAAGTGAGTGGGCGAGGGTTGAACCAGAAGGAGTCCCCATGCAACCCTGTGGCGTTTGACACCCTGCGCGGCTGGAGAAGGCCCTGGGATCCCGGCTTACCGTCTTCTCCACTCGCAAAATCTGTCTCCGACTTGGAACTCGACCTCGAGTCCCCAAGTGTCCCTGGGCGAGGCCGAAGACACCGTGTATGGTGACTCGGCGTGATGCCGAGTTTCTCTGCCAATGATCAACGAGTGTCCTATCTCCCATTGGCAGCGTTTGGCCACTCTCGATTCCTCATTACTGTTTCCGTAGTTCTGGGTTGCCATGCCTGGGAGGCAGGCGGTTGGCTGAAGAAGACATCTTTTACAAACATTTGGAAGTGAGATGGGAGGTTGCTTCCTGCTTTAGAATTAATTGAAGGTTCCCCCTGCCAGTTGAATTGGATGAAAAGAACGATCTTTGTTTTCCTGGCTGAAACATGAGAGAACAAGCTTGTAATTTCATGCTTGGACATTAGACGCATTTTTGGATGGCAGTGATCAGTAAGTAGGTGTGCTTTCAGAAAAAAATGCTTGCGCTCTGCTCCTTTGTCAATAACGAAGGATTCAGGAGAATTTTGGATGGAGGTCTGAGGTAGCCAGAATAGTTGTAAAGAGAAATTGCTTCCGACAAAGGGATAAGGTGAGGAAAGGTGATCATTTAAGATTTGAAAGTTGTGATGTAGTGAACCTTGGCGACTTCTCTTAGGTAATGCAGTTTCTTAGGTAAGTAGTTTTCACTTGCCACTTTGTACTTAAATAATTACTTCCCACCAAACCCCATAAAAGGCAGCTGATTAATTTTTTTAAAAAAAGTCAGTTCCCAAGAGAGTTGTAGGTACTATTGCATTTTTCTTTATGGGTATGCTCCCCATACCCATACAAACATTTTCTTTATGAGAGCATAGTCATAAAGAAAAATGCAATATGTTTAATTCAAGGCCGCTGTTACATCAGGCTGATGCCTTCTTACCTTTTGAAAATAATGCAACCATATTTATTTAGGATAGCACGTTGATTTTCTAACCTTGTTGGTTAATAATTCCACAAACTTATAATCTCCCCCGTTGATTCCAATTTTGACATTTTATTGAATCTTGTGTGCTTTATTTCTCCAGTTGAAAGTATTAAAAATTATTTCAGGGAGACTATATATTATTTCTGTACAGCAACTAGTTTTTAGAGACAGTGCTTTATCTCTATTAATTGCTCTTGAATGTAGCCAATCATTAATACTTACCCCGAGTAGATACTATCTGCCAGGCACTTAACATTTATTCTTTTATTTAATGCTTAATAAAGAAAATCACAAAAATTGTGTTATTTCTATTTTGCAAACAGACTGAGACTCAAATAGGTTGTGATTTTCCACAAATTATATCATTAAATAGCACAATTAAAATTTGAATCCAGACTACCTGACTCTAAATTTTGGCTTTTTACTGTGCTCTATACCTTTATAAGTAAAGATAACAGCATCATTTTCACTCACAGGTAAATTTGGATAGATAGTATGTCACATTTAGAAATCCAGTGGATAGCAAAACTTGAGGATAAAGGGACTTACTGGATGTGTTCATCACCATAAGGTAATTTTAACATGTGAATAATACAGTTTCTTTACTGCCTTTATTCTTGGCCAGTTTTATTATCCTAATTCAAACAAATGCCTATACTGTACATTGACAGAACACTTGGGGCAAATACAGAAGATTTAGAGATCATCAGCATATTGGTGACTCAGTCCAGAGTATCAGCTATCTCTTTAGGCAGCTTTTCACACACACATTTGTATATATGTATACTTGTATTTGTGTATGTGTGTGTGTGTGTGTGTTTGTGTGTGGAGAGAGAATGAGCAAATGAGCACAAATTTATAAAATTGAACTTTGTAATGATTTATAAGGAATTATTTATTATTAGCAAAACTGTTCTGTTTCACTCACGTAACCCTAGACAGATAGGGATTATCACATAGTTTCAGGGAATATGCTTAATTAAACCTGCCCATCCCAATACCCTATTCTGTATAGAGAAAGAAAAGTAGCCTAATTGTCAGAGAATTTACAAAAATTTAGTTGAAATGACCAATACTAGACATGACATAGAACTTAATTTTAAAGAATATACTGTTTTACAACTAAATAGGTATAGCTAACCTCAAATACTAATGTGTATTTGATTATATTGCATTGACTTGTAGGCAGATCTTTGCATTGACTCATAGGCAGATCCTGTAGGCAGATCTCAGGGATATTTTGCTATCAAATTTCAGTTCTTATGAAGGTTGGGGTTATGTCTGTTTTGTTCAGCATCTCATACCCAGCATCTAGCACTGTGCCTGGCATGTAGTAGAAGCTCAATAAATAAGTCAGGAGCTGTGGCTTATGACTGTAATCCCAACACTTTGGGTGGCTAAGGCAAGAGGATTTGAATCCAGATCCTCTAAATTTTGGCTCTTTTTACTGTGTTCTATACTTAGATTACAATAAACTATGATCACACCACTGCACTCTGGCCGGTACAACAGAGCAAGACCCTGTCTCTAAAAAATAAAAATAAAAATTTATTGAATGAATGATTCCTTTTTAAAATGTTATTTATCCATTAGAAGTATTCGTACATTCCTTTTTAAAATGTTATTTATCCACTGAGAAGTATTTATACATTAATGCTTAATTATTGTTACTCACCTTGACCCTGAAATATAGTGTCCACTCCACACTCATTCATAAAAGGCAATGTGTTGTCCTACAAAAAAGACTGGACTGTGAGACAAGAGATAAGAGAATATCTAATATTTTTTTTCTGTGTGTATTCTCTGCACTTAGTGTTAAATTACTTATTACAGCACAATGGATATTATTATACTCCTTTTACAGATGAGAAAACTGAGGAAAAAGATAAGCTTCATAAATTGTCCTAGGTTACACATAGTCATTAAACACAGCTATGAGGTGAATGAAAGCCTCTGACCCCAAAAGCAGTAATCTTAACCACTTTGCTACACTGCCTCCAGTTGAATTTTTAATCCTGGCTCAGCTGCTAAATGTGTGCAAAAGCAAATTTATTTCTCTGGGTATCATGTTTCTCATCTATAACATATAGGAGTTTGATGGATTAGATTATCTATAAGGTTCCTCTTACCTAAAAAATCCTCTGACTTTAGTTGACTCCCAAGTTTTATCTAAATATAGCAGTGTGCCAGAAAACCCTCGTCAATTTTGATGTGTTTCAAATAAGCTTTTTTATGTGTTCATATCTTCCACATTGGTAGACACACGATCACGTTTTTGCAATAGAAAGAACAGAGTTTAAAAAAAAATAGAGTTAAAACAATCACAGCTATGCTTTTTTTTAAACCAGCTATGACACTAGTAAGTCACTGAACCTTTGTGAGCTTATGTTTTCGTATGTAAAATGGATCCACAGAACTGCTATGAGGGTTGAGTTGATATATAAAGCCTCAGACACATTGCCTGGCACACAATTGCTATTAAATAAATACTGATTTTTTTTCTTGCTCAATCTTGTAAGGATAAAAGATTAGTGGATATAAAACTTCTTTATAAATTAGACAAAGGTGAATAGTCTTTTCACTTACAGTCTACTAGGAAAGAGAAAGTAATATACACAAGTAATTCTTGTATGTAGGACAATTTACGTACATAGTTGAACATAAAACATGATGGGAATGCAAAGGAAAGGAATTCTTTTTTTTCCAGGAGGGCAGATGAGGAAAGACCTCAGGAAAAAGGTAATATTAAGTTTGTGCCATATAGGATTGTAAGGATTTTGGCAGGGTAACAAAAGGAACAGGTGTTTTTTTTTTTTTGTTTGTTTGTTTGTTTTTTTTTTTTTGAGACGGAGTTTTGCTCTTGTTACCCAGGCTGGAGTGCAATGGCGCGATCTCGGCTCACCGCAACCTCCGCCTCCTGGGTTCAGGCAATTCTCCTGCCTCAGCCTCCTGAGTAGCTGGGATTACAGGCACGCGCCACCATGCCCAGCTAATTTTTTTGTATTTTTAGTAGAGACGGGGTTTCACCTTGTTGACCAGGATGGTCTCGATCTCTCAACCTCATGATCCACCCGCCTCAGCCTCCCAAAGTGCTGGGATTACAGGCTTGAGCCACCACGCCCGGCTAGGAACAGGTGTTCTAATAGAAGATGCAAAGGTGTCGAAAAAAGAGAACCTAAGTCACTTTGGACGTGTAAAATGATTGAAGGCTGGTAATAAAGCTAAGGCAAAAAGCTGAGTTTAGGAGGAATTGAAGATAACAATGTGGGCAAGTTAAAGATGTTAGGCTTTTAACAATAAGCAATAATCTGTGTGTAACCATGATGGGGTGGAGGATGGAGTTGGCATTTGTTTTCTTTGTTATGGAAAAATGCCCATTTGTCACAGAAATATTAGAGTATACAAATAACCCAAAAAGGAAAGAGAAAGGAAGAGTTACCCCTGATCCCACCACTCAGAACTTACAATTTTTCTCTGTATTATTACAGATTTGCATATATGTGCTTTTAAAATAAAAATGAAATAATACTATCCATATTGTCTGGTGACCTGCTTTTTTTCAGTGTGCTATACCATGAATTTTTCCATGTCAATACATTTGTTTCTATAAAATAGTATTTAGGGCCTGCATGCTATTGAATTTTATGAATATGTTATAACTTTTAAACTGACTTCTTACTGTTTTTTTTTTTTTTTCCAACATTGCTCCATACAAGGTAAATTTGTTTTTTGTTTTTTGAT